ACAGTCACTTCCCAACCAGACCTTTCACCAGCTCCTGCCCTATGGCAGGATTATTATGTATAATCAAGAACTTTTGCCATTAGGTTTTTATTTTCCTGGGTACTGTGCATATGAACAGACTGTAGCTGTTAATTTGTCTTCTGTTCCCAAAGGGACTACACAATGGCTTTGATGAATGGAGGCCTACCATGGCAGCTAGTGCCAGAAGGGTGGAGCCACACCCTGGATGGTGCTGCAGCACTTGTCAGCCAATGGCAGCTCTCCCGTGACAGGAGGGCTGCTATAGGTCAATTTCTGCCTCTCCTAGGACTGTGTGTGCACGAAGGGGATGGGGTGGGATTGATGACAGTGAATCTAGATAGAGAAGGTACACAAGGAAGTGGAGAGTATCTTTTCACTCACATGGCTTAGCGACGTGTAATCCTGGTGTTGTTTTCATTCACTGTCCTACTTCATTCCATGAGTCAGATAGGAGGCAACGTGCCAGATCTCTGCCAGTCAGGTGGGGTAGCACACGCCTTGGTTGGGCACTATTAGATCCCCTACCAGATACCAGCCTAGCAAACATCTCATTTCAAATAAGTAGGATTTGACTTTATGGGACATTGTTTTATGCCTGATATAGTGCAGTAAAGTGCAACCAATGAAGATTGTGAGCAGACAAAGGTGTCTTTCATTTAATGGCCATATTCTTCCAGTACGGTGCATCATTTGCTCATCAGCTTTCCTTTTTATCTATGGTAAAGATCAGTTCTGAACACCTAATACAAGCCAAACATTCACTAGCCTGCAGCTATGCCACTTTGTTGTCTATCCAATCTCACAAGCTAAAAGCACAAGGGCTTTTTGTTTGGAGAACACCCGTGGGTTGGAGGAAGTAGTGTTGGTGATTCACTAGACAGTACCCTTCCATCTGAGTCAGCAATGACCCAACAGCACTGCCTTAGGAGATGCCGTCTGTTGTCTGACATGCTAACTAACTGTAGACATAAAGTGCCAGATCCTTTGGCTAAGACTAAACTGCTCAGAGCACAAGGCAGGGTGCCATGCAAATCTGGCTTAAAACTCTGATTCTGCTGTGGCTGTCTGAACGGCCATCCCCCCTGTGCTGTGTTAGAGCAGCCTGAGAGGTGCTCTCACTTGGACAGGGCTGCAATGGCCACAGGGGGCAAAAAACACAGCTGAAGATTACTTGGGGCCAACCACACCTTCTTTTCTGCAGCCCTTTCCCCTGCTACATCAACATCAGGAAGGCCCCTATGTTGGCTCTACACTACCAGAGGATCACCCTGACTCTGGGAAGATCTTCCATGAGTTGGTTAAGCCAGTTTTGCTGCCAGATTACACATCCAGTTCGGCACACAGAGGCTGCCCTGCCCTGTGGGACCTGGCTCTAAAGAACGCATGCACGTTAGGTAAGAGTAGAGGTGGTAGCCCCAGAATTCTGGCCAAATTCTAATTCTCCCCATTTAAATCCCCCAGCAGTTTAGTTAGATACAGCATTCTTCATTTCCTTCTTTTTATGTAATTGATTTGATGGGTACATTTGAACAATCTCCAGGTTCCACCCCAGAGATGGCTGCATTTCATTAGCTGGTGAAACGATCTTTCTGTAGTCTTTATTTAAATCACGGGTGTGTTGTAAGGCTGAATTAGTTAAAATTTGTAAAACTTCTTGCGTGAAATACTTTTACTGGCAAGAATAATTGTTTTATTATTAAGTTATATTACAGTTAATAAGTTGCTTTTTTCTGTCTCTGGGAATGGACCTTACTATTTTGTTCTGTAAGTCTGATATACTTTGTGAAGGCTTACCGTTGCCACATGTGTACTGATATGTTCAAGAACAATATAGGCTATTGGTACTAATTTATATCAATTTTGAGAAAAATAAAGAATTCAAAATAAAATCATCCCCAGGGTAATTTGGATAAATGTTGGAAGTCAGCTTTTGGAAATATAGATAAAGATGAACATCTGCTCGCTCTTCAACCATTAAAAGATACATTTGAAGCATCTGAAGAACAAGAATTTTATTTTACTGCAGCTGGTTAGTAACGTCACTCAATCCCCAAATTGTGCACACACCCTCAAACCCTCTTATTGCTAATTGTTTGTCTGAACATTTCAGGAATGGCACATTCACTATCCAGTTCTTATCTATTGCTGTTTGGGTTGGTATAGTCATACAGAGCTTTCTGAAAATCAAAATCCATGTGGGAAACTGATTTTGAACTACAGTCTACTCCTAAACAATGGCAAAGAGGTTCTGGATTATGAATTTAAAATTAGCACCAGGGTAGCAAAAGTACAGTGCATGCATAATAAGATAGTTCATAAAATCTGTTGGACTCTGAAGAGCTTGGAAAGATATAGCTTGCAAATATTGTTGGAGGTGCAACCAATCTAGAAGGAATTTGATTAAATTTGGCACATTGTAGATATGCCCCAAAATTTGTGATTATGAAGCCAAAATATTAGATACTGCACATTTTAACTGGAAATTTTATTTCCCCTGAAATGCACAATTAATCCTACATGACCGTTCTTTACTATTATCCACTATTATGAGATTTAAAAGTAACTCTCCACCTGAGCTGCAGAAGGAATTTCTATCCCAGAGCATCAGTTCAGAATTGGTACACTGATTTGGATGAGGATGTATACTCTGATATATTAATTTATAAAATACAAAAGGGAGAGGTACATTCCCTGTATTGTATTAGAAGTGACTTGGGTATTAATATTCGTATCAACCTGATAACCTCTTGTGATATTGAGAACACTGTATCCTAATTGTACCTCCTGCATTATTGTAGGAAATGATTCATTGGACTCAGACATTCAGAATTATTACACTTTATTGTAGAGTTTGTGTTTATGGCTTTCAGGGATCATGTTTCTGATCAACTGATGTCTGGTCATCTCTCTTGCAAATTAAAATCTGTAATCGTACGTTCAACTGTATTAATCTCCTGCTCTGATCTGACTGTATTTCAGTATTGTGTGTATATATTTGTTACATGCATCAAAAGATAAAAACAAGATTTTTATATATCAAAAAAGGGGAACAGAAGTTCAGCTGACCAAAGTTCATCTTCACTAAACTCCAGGTTATCAGATTCCCTTGTAGATTCCAATGCACAGGCTATTTTTCAGTTCCTCTTCTGAAGACTAATTGAATGAGCATGAGACTGAATCCCAGCTTTGCCAGTGATTTGCTGTGTGGCCTAGGACAAATCATTTAACCTGTGTCTCATTTTCTCCATAAATAAAACAGAAATAATAATCTAATCTATCTGTCCCCCATCAGTGTAGGATCTGAGCTCCATAATACTGATCTGCCTGACAAGGGAGCGGTGAGGATTCATGTTATTGTAGCGCTTTGGAGATGTAAAGTGGTGTATAACTTCGGTATATTATTGTTGCTGGGTAGTGTTGATAGCACAGAATGGCTCCTCATTGAGATCTGAGCCCTGGGTGCATTTCCATGCTGAGTGAGTGATCCCCCTGCATACAGATTATAAAATCCTTTCAGGATCCAAGCTGCTAGATATAGGTAAGTTAGTAACTTATACTGACAACAGCTGGGCAAACCACTGGCAGTTAACATTCATTCTTGTGAAAAGTCTGGACTTAGGCTGAACTGCCCACCTCCTCTTCCTTGGAAGATCAGCAGCATCTGGAAGAGGAGTGTCCAACTCTGGGCAGGAGTGGAAGGGTACAGTGACTGTATCACTTTACAGGGTCCCCAGGGCTTCTGATCTGGGAGTGCTGCTCTCCCACGCTAAGGGCTTGGCATAGTCAGAGGAAAGGCATGAGGCCACACCAGCAAGCTCAGCCACGTGGGCAGCATTGTCTACACCCAAATACCTGGAAATAGGACTTAGATACCAGGCAGTGGTTGGTGCTGTCTCAAAACCCAAGACAGGTCAGATCCAGATATTCACCTAAGAGACTTTTTTTTTAAAAAAGTGAGTTTGCTTTATTGCATTTTCGATTAAAACATCTATAAATATCTCTACAAAGTGAGGGGCAATCTGCCCTGCTTACAGCAGCATCCCAATGATTTCTGATGTGGTTGGGGTGCCAAAACTTATAAGTTAAAGCAAACCTTGCTCTTTTTCCAATGCTCTGTTTGCATCAACTCTTTATTCTTGCCCCTCTTTGCTCAAACCATCCCACAGGTATATGCGTGTGTGTGTCACACACATCAGCAAATGGCCTGCATCCCTCAATATCAAAAATATGAATTGTAAAGCGCTTTTAAAGCTGCGCTGTGGTAAAATACCAGTTACATTCCAAAAGGACTTGATCGAACTGACATCAGGTCAGGAAACCAACTTCTGTTAAATCCGTATATTCTGCTCATGTAACTTTGGCTGCTGGGAGGGAAAGAAACACCGACGCAAAGCAAAACACCTGTAAACCGATATCCTGAGCAACTGCCTTATTTCCCAGGTTATTCCCGCACCTTTACAGACAGAAAACTGGGGCAAGTTTTATTTCCTCGTCCACTCTCTTGCATGTTTCCTTTTGCTTGCCGGTGTCTCTGGTGCACATGAGGGAGCTCAGCAACAACGCACCTCTTGGGGTCCAGCGCCCCCAAACCCAGTGCCAGACCCATTCCGTGGAAAGGAGTCCAGGGGCACATTGCCACCTGATGAGCTCCCTCGACCAGCCTCTGTCTCCCACTCCGCTCATGCTCCTGCAGCCTGAGTTTGCCGTCACCTGCCTGCCCCGAGCAGCCCTGCCCACCTGTTAGCGAGCTAGGCAAGAACCAGCGCAAGGGCTGGCATGTGTGTGAGGGTTTGAAATCCCGGCCGATTTCGCCCAATCTCAGGCAGCGGCAGCCGCCCTGGGAGCCTTAGCACTGGAAAAGTGACAGCGAGCGAGAGAAGCTCCCCCCTGGCTCTGCTGCTGACGTCTCTCCTTCCTCTTGTTCTTTCCCTATAAAGAATCCCAGGCTCACATCAAACATCCCAGCAAAAGCAGATCAAACTGGGAGGGGTGGGGGAGAGCGAGAGAAATACCTAAACTGGGATCTGCCCAGGCACAAGCCCCGCTCCTTGCAAGAAGCCGAACCGGTCGCCTGCTCCTGGGCTTGTGATTCCCCCAGCACCATGTAGCAGAGATCCCGTGGGCTCGTGTCAGCTGCAACAGCTACTGGGACGCAGGCGTTTTGTTTTGGTTCCCCCCCCCTCCTCCTGTCTCGCAAGCCTGAGAGAGTTTAAAAGCTTCTTCCTCCAGATCCCTGCAGCACCTGCACCTCCCTGGATAAACAGACCTGAGCGGAGGCTCTTGGTTGAAGACACTTTAACCAGAACCCAGCCCAAGGGAGGAGAGCGACTCAGAAGCAGCCGCTCAGTGACTCGAAAAAACTTTGCACCAAAACTTTTTGTTGCGGCTACTTTGCTTTGTTAACCCCTTTGGTCAGTTGTGTAACATCTGCTCTTCTCACTGGTCTCTTTACTTTAATCAGATTTTAGCCAAAAAAAAAAAAAAAGGAAAAAGAAAAACCAACCCAAACAAACAAAAAACCCCAGATCATCCCATGAGTTAGGAGGGGGGAAACAAGGAATAAAGTTATTCTGAAAAAAAAAACATTTGGCCGTCAAGAAGAGAGGGAGGCAAACAAAACCTGTAGCAAAGGGGGGAAGCAGTGAATGGAAAGAGCAGTTTCACTGGAATCAACAAGGGAGAACTTCTGGACGCCTTGTTCTTCCCCCTCCCCACCCTTACCCAGCCTGAAGGCTTTGAAACTTGTTGCTGGAAAGAAATTGACCCTATTGACAGATCTCCCTTCTTGCACGTTTATAAAGGATATACTCATAATTCACATCTGCACCAGACATGATTCCAAAGCACTGCACCGCCCTGGCTGTTTGTGTGCTTCATGGACTGCTTTGGCTACAAGGTAAGAGCAGTTTACACGTGGTTTTTTCAATCTCTCTCTCACTCTCCTTTGATTTCACAGTGTATTTTTGCTCCGACAACTTTCTCTTCTGTGTTTGCTCACTCCGGTGTGGTATCCAGGTTGGAACTGGTTCTCTCCCCCCCATCGGCTTAAGGCCACTTCACAGCAAGCCACCTCGTCTGCCCAAGCGGTCATATCAGAGGGACCAGTTCAAAACCAGCCACTCCTGGATGTTGACTAGCTGATTGAAATAAAGAATAATGATTCATCCCTGGGTAGGATGGAGAGGAACGATTTCCCCCGTGTGTGGGGGTCTTGGTTGGTGCCCCTGTCCAATGTGGCTCTAGCTCCTGGTTTTCTTGCCTGGCCCAGCACCTTGCCCAAGCGGGGGGGCCAAAAGCAACACTGGGGCTGGCTGAACTTTCCGTGTATTTATTTTTTCTCCTGCTGAACGCAAGCATGCACCTGAGTCCACTAACCTTCTAGCGCCATGGGGTACTGCGCCTTTCGTGTGGGCATCTGTAATAACCCTACATGAAGCAGCAAAGCAAGGACTCTGTTTAAGGTCTGGGGACTTGTTAGAGGGGAAATTTGCAGTCCGGCTCGGTCCATTTTGCGAGGGAGCGGGGGGAAAGAGCCTGTATTGTCACAGAGTTAAATTTGGTTTCCTTTATGGATGCAACTATTTCAACTATGTTGTTGTTTTAATTGCCTGGGATTTTCTCTCCTGGATATGGTTTCAATTACTTTCTCAGGGTTTGGGCATCACAAGGAGTCAAGTGCCTTGAGGTAGCAGATCTGGGGAGCTGCCGCTAGATGGCGCTTGCAACTGCAAATAGGCATCCCCGGCCCCGGTGGGGACTTCCCTTGTTGAAGTTAAGAGAAAGGGTGGCTTTGAGGTGGGTTTTCAGGAGAGCTGCGTGAGTGCTATGGGAGAACTCACCTGGAGAGCAAAGCTCTTCCTTTGCATTTTAGAAAAGGACAGCAAGCTTGGAAAGAGTGCACTGCTCTAAAGCCAGCCTACCTGTTCCTGGTTCCCTAACTGCTGAATCTACTTGCTCTCACCCACCCACCCCAAGGCTTTGACCCTCAAGTTCCTGTGGTGAAGTGAAGGCTCCATTCTCGATCCATGACTCACATTTTTCTCCAGTCTCACACTTACTTAGCATTAAACTGCTCCCAGGCGCCCATCAGAAGAACCTTTGGGGTTCTTTTCTTTTCAGCCCTAGCTGAACGTTCTCAGAAAGGCTCCTGAATTCATAACACTTTACTTTGAGCAAGTAACAAGCTTTGTGGGTTGCTCTTAATCACCTCCCTGTCCTTGCCCTGGGCTTTCTTCTGGAAGATCCTCACCCCCACACAGTAACGCCTAATTAAATAGGCGGCCAATGGGCCAGTTAGGAATTGGCTCTGGAATTTCCTGTAATAAGTTTACAAGGGCTCTCTCACTAGATATCAGTTCTCTTACCAAAAGCAATGGGAGCTCAGGTTTGAATACTTCGAAGGGGTCAGTGCTTCATTAAAATATTTGGAAATAGAGAAAGATGTATCTTCAAGAAAAGGTCCTTGACGTGCGATGCATTTGAAGGATTCCCCGCCCCCCCCCACACACACACACACACCCCAGCTAACACTTCTGATATCCGGCCTTGAGGCTTCAACAATTAGTTAAAAATAGCAATTTGTGGGGCTTAGTATCTTTCTCCTATATGGGAACATTTCAAGTTGTATTTGATCATCTGAAACACCCTGAAGAAGATGAGGCTTCAAAAGCTGAGGCTATAGCATATATTTGAGCCCTCTGTTGTGCATGGGGCAAGCTGAATCTATGAAATCACTTCCTTCATGGGGAATAGAATAATTCAGGGGTGCAATTTTTAAGGTCCATAGGTAAAGAAGTTGCGTGAGCAATCTTCTTCTCTCTAGATTGTATTGTCCCTTCCTCTACACCTGGTTGTGCATCAATGCTGTGTTCTCCTTCTAAATGTGTGTCTGGAGTTACTCCTGATTTATGCTAGCCCAAGAGAATAATTGGGCTAATGAGATTGAGAAAAGCTTTTCCATGTGCCATGTGGTCTTCCATTATTTCATTAATCATGAGGATTTCATTGGATTACCATGCTATTTATTCATGGCACATCAGATTGTATATAGGAGATGGTCTGTTATTTACTGTGAAATTTCTCCTGCCAGTAGTGTTCCATAGTCTTCCTTGAGCCCTGGGTATATTTCAAAACACCAGACTATTGGTTCTTTAGTCTCCTTATCAGTATGAAGTGTGTCTCTAGGCTCTAGGGGTATGGTTAATTTCCACCAACTATAATCAATAACCAACCATATCAGGAAAACAGATCTGCTGAGGGATTCTGGTAGCACCGTAAACTACCAGAGCTTCATTACTAGAATCCTCATATTTGGTTTGGTTTATTCAGAGACTTATAAAATGCTCCCTCACAGTGCCTCTGGGTGTACGTACCAACCTTTTAAACACTTGCTAGCAAGGGTCAGCCCAGATAAACTCAGAAACAAGCTCCATATATGCCTCACAGACATACCTGGAGTAAACATGAGCTTTACATCATGCCTTAAAGGGCCAGTTTAAGCTCTGCTGGACCAACAGAGGAAGTGGATTCCATAGGCAAGAGTCATGAATACCATGCCACCAGCTACCCTTAATAGAAGTGCCCTAGCTGACCTCAGTTATTGTTAGAGCATGTGGGGAAATAGGTGATTCCATAACTGATTGGCCTTTATACATCAGTAGCAACGTTTTGAATTGCACCTGGAAGCAAATAGGAAGTTTGTGCAGTCCTCAGAGAATTGCTGTAATGCACTCCCTCTGGCTGACACTGCAAGTACGCATCCAGCTGTATTCTCCACTAACAGTAACTTCTGAATGGTCTTCAGAGCTTGTCCATATAGGGCATAAGACAGCAGTCCAGCCTGAAGGTTACAAAGGAATGTATTACCATGGCAGTTTCTGTATCAGAGAGAATTGGTAACAAGTACTTGGCCAAGCACAGGCAGGAAAAGGTATTTCTGGCCACCAGTTCTTGCTGGGAATCGAGGAGCACACTCATATTGCAACTGTTACTGAAAAGGGTGGGTTTACTCCCACATAAATGGACCAGGTACAGATATCACCCACTGCATCCTCTAAATAGACTCCTTACCTGGCAGTCTGACCCCCACCGTATTTAGCAAGAGCTTCACCCAGCTCACTTTCATCCATGCCCCTTCGGAGCCAGGCACTGAGAAGGGAGAGAGAGAGAATGCCCTATCCATGTCTGACAATAAAGAGGGGTAGAGTTTTGTGTCATAGAATCATAGAACCATAGGGTTAGAAGGGACCATAAGGGTCATCTAGTCCAATCCCCTGCCAAGATGCAGGATTTGTTGTGTCTAAACCAGGGGTCGGCAACCTTTCAGAAGTGGTGTGCCGAGTCTTCATTTATTCACTCTAATTTAAGGTTTCACATGCCAGTAATGCATCTTAACATTTTTAGGTTTCTTTCTATAAGTCTATAATATATAACTAAACTATTGTTGTATGTAAAGTAAATAAGGTTTTTAAAATGTTTAAGAAGCTTCATTTAAAATTAAATTAAAATGCAGAGCCCCCCCTCCCCCCCGGAGCGGTGGCCAGGACCTGGGCAGTGTGAGTGCCACTGAAAATCAGCTCGCGTGCCGCCTTCGGCACGCGTGCCATAGATTGCCTACCCCTGGTCTAAACCATCCAGGACAAATGGCTATCCAGCCTCCTTTTGAAAAGCTCCAGTGACGGAGCTTCCATGACTTCCCACGGCAGTTTGTTCCATTGTCCTACTGTTCTTTCAGTTAGGAAGTTTTGCCTGAGATTTAATCTAAATCTGCTATGCTGTAGTTTGAACCCATTGTCTCTTGTCCTGCCCTTTGTGGCAAGACAGAACAACTTTTCTCCCTCTTTTTCATGGCAGCGTTCAAGTATTTGAAGACTGCTATCATGTCCCCCCTTAATCTCTTTTCCAAACTAAACATACCCCGTTCCTTCAGCCTTTGCTGATATGGCTTGCACTCCATCCCTATGATCATCTTTGTTGCTCGCCTCTCAATCCTTTCCAGTTTCTCTACATCCTTTGTATACAGCGGTGACCAAAATTGGACACAGTCCTCCAGCTGAGGCCTAACCAGTGGTACTAACACCTCCCATGACTTGCATACTATGCCTCTCTTAATGCAACCCTAAATTGCATTTGCTTTTTTTACAGCAGTACTGCATTGTTGAGGTTGTGATCCACCATAACTCCCAGATCCTTCTCAGCAGTGCTGTTGTCAAACCAGTTCTCCTCCTCCTCTGTTTGGGACAGACACCGAGGGAAGGGATATTTTCTTAGCTAATACCCCAGCCACAGTAGAGGACTTCAAGTACTCGCTCTGTTGCAACTAATTAGTATTGGTTTGAGATGACTGCCACCATCACTCTGCCATCAGCCTCATGTCACAGGTCAGGAGACTACCGCCGTGACCTGTGTAGATGGCACCTAGGGAATCCAAGAACATTTAGGAGTCACTGTATTGATGGTTGAGGACAAAAGTTATATCTTACTAGACCATTGATAGGTTGTATTTTCCCTGAAACCTAATCATGCCCATGGATCAGCAACAGGTCCTGCATCCTGACCATAGTAAAGCTGAGATCTGATTTCAAATCAGAAGAGGTAACAGGCAGACCATTGCTCATCCCAGCAATCTCCAGCCCCATTCCAAAAAGCTTAGCTCCAAAATATGTAGATGTACTGAAATCATCTAAAATAGCTCCATGCTTGTCATGGCATTTCCTCCTTCTTTGACATTGTTGCATATTTTAGTTCTGATTCCTCTTAGCACAAGGTTGAAATGGTTGTTTGACTCTTATTGCATTTACAGTCTTTATTCTCTAAACACAAGGGCTGGTGGAAATTTTTGGCAAAAAAAGTGTTGTTATTTTTCCTGGTTGGAAAGTGATTTGTTTGGGTGTGTGG